CTTCAAGTTTGCCCCATTGTGTTTGCTAAGTAGATTTATGGTAATCCGTGGCAACGTCGTGAGGAGTGTATTTGTTAAATCTATTATTTTACTCACCCGTGTTATATTTAATATACTGCTGTTTGTTGTCCTTGATAAATAAATAAAATAAATAAAATAAAATTGAGTAAGGTTATCGGCTCGATTATCCTCTCCCCAATCCCCGAATCCCCAATAATCCTCAAATTCTCAATTCCCAAAAGGCCGGTAACGCACTTGTAACGCTTTGTCCATGGGCGGCGCCGATTACCATCAGGTGATCCGTCTGGTGTTTTATCGACTTATCTCATAAATAAAGTTCACAGAACACCTAAGCAATTTTAATTGTACATGTAGATAAGTTATAATGTCTTAATTCAGCCTGAATACCTTTTCCTATAGTACCATCTACATTAGTATGTTTTCGTCAAAGTATCATATATTTAGACGTAGTCACACGAAATTAATTCACTGACTTAGTCAAAGTTCTTATTTTATTAGCGTACAAGTTATGTGAGTGCTCCGTAACAACATATTGTTGAACCACAAACCGAGATGTACAATACACTACATCCAGTATAACATGATCTTGCTTCATATGATCGTTCGGCACTTTCGACGGTCAATTTATACTGGTACTTACTTTTGCTTAGCTTTATATGTAGTTGTGTGTACTTACGCTAGTAGATTAACCTACTCTTCTCTGTCAAATTCCTATTTTAGATTTTCGACATTATTGTTTTGATATAGAGTTGAAAATATAATATAACATATTAGAGTAGCTTGGCCTGCTGCTGGTGTCTGTACTTACACAGATTATAAGAGGTCTTCTTTAACTCTTAGATTTATATTTAATCAAATTTGTTGAAATTTTGCCAGATCCATTCTTGGGTTCATACGAAAACAATTTACTTAATTTACCTTATTATAATATATACGGAATTATAATTGAATTGTTTTAAGAGATATGACGTGACATCTATTTTTGTATCATACGCACGTTGGAGTAATGTTATTTATAGCGAGCGTAGGTACATAATCTTATTAAACTGATGTAGAAAGGAACCGAAATAATTTTATGACAAGAACTTCCTTTATATTGTGAAAGGAGAGAGAAAATCAAATTGACACAAAATATTGATGAATAAAAATATGTATTCTATTAACTAGAATTCAAATTTTCTTCTTAAAATCGTATTTTTTTGAGTAAAGTTAGATAATAGCGTGGCTTATTCAAAAACAACATTTAAAAATGCGTCAGAGAAATAAAGATGCACAGCTACTCCCCAGTAAATGATAGCGTGATAATTTGTTGCCTATATGTTGACCTGACCTGTTAGTAATATTCATGCAAAATTTTAAGTAAATTCATGCAGAACTTTTTAAGTTCATCCAAGAAAAACAAACAGAGAAGCAGACAAAAAGTCTAAAAAACTAATTTTTGGCTTTAGTATCTAGGTATTGTAGATCACACTCCAAAAGTATTTTTTTACTAAACATAACATAACATCACGCCTTTTATCCCCGAAAAGATAGGCAGAGGTGCACATTACGACGCTTAATGCCACTGTACAATGTAACACCCACTTTTCACTATTTGTGTTAGGAGTCCCATTTAATAGGGGTTTTTTTCAATAAATATTCAATGCACAGTTTTGACTTTACAACGATTTTATTATATGTATAGATATAGATAATCAAAAATATTAATTTTTACGTTACTTCATAACATTATCACAAGTTCATTAAGTGCTTTATACTATCACCCTATTAAAAAACCAAGGAAATGACTGTTGAATCTTCCCCACAAAGGTTTTAACTTCTATTAAAAACCTCTTTAACCAAACCACGATACGTTACAAATCACTCAATTAAAAAACGTATCGGCTATCGATATAACAAAATAACATTGATGAGTATTTTATGGGTGACTGCAGTCACCTGTTGACGCGGTCACCGTGAAATTGTGTGTATCCCATAACTGACATGAGGGTGTAATGAAAAGCTATTGACTGCTAATGGAATGTATTTTTTTTTTGGTTCATAATAGTGGTGTTGATATCGGAAGATATTTTAAGTGTGGAAGAGCCATACTTCGGCACGAATGGGCCGGCTAAACCAGAGTGATACCACGGCCTCACAGAAAACCGACGTGAAACAACGCTTGCGTTGTGTTTCGTTGTGTGAGTGAGGTTATCGGACGCCCAATTACCCTCCCCTTCCCCAATCTCCCCAATTCCTGAATCCCCAACGATCCTCAAACTCCTAATCCCTAAAAGGCCGGTAACGCACTTGTAACGCCTCTGGTGTTCCAGGTGTCCATGGGCGACGCCGATTGCTTACCATCAGGTAATCCGTCTGCTCGTTTACCGGCTTATGCCATAAAAAAAACTAAATATATTTGATGGACCGACGTTTGACCACTATCTCGCCTGCTGATAAGCGCTGAAGCGGTCTACGATGAAGCATGTGTCCCATAAGCAACCTATTCACTCGGGCCTTGAAAACACTAAGGTTATACTCTTTTTAAAAATAAATAAATGGGATATTAATTTTAAAAAGAGAAGGTTTAAGAGCTATATAAGGTGATAGGAGCTTCTCATGCATCAGAGTGCGAGTTTTAAACCTACCACGGCTAATACCAATGTGACTTTCTCCGAGTTATATGTAGCTACTTCCTAAGATTATTTAGATCACTGATAAACGGTGAAGGATCATTCTGATGAAACCTGGGTTTATAATTTCTAGTTATAAGTTTGAAATTGCCAACCCACATTGAGCAAGCGTGGTGATTATTGTTTAAACCTTCTCCGTATAAGAAGAAGCCTTTAGGCAGCAGTGTAATCTTTTGCCAGTAGGTATGTACCTAACTATTAAATAAACTGTACATTTATATAGGTAGGTAGTTTTTATAGTTTTTATTTAATACCTCTAATATTAACAATATCTAAAAATGTTTCATATTACGACAAATTTCTTGTCGTACAAGAAAACTGAACAGAAAAAGACACAAAAACATATCCAACAAGATAAGCCCACAACCAACCGCGAAAAAACATAATAATAAAAGATATATTCAAGAATTTCATCTAGAACATTCGCAGTTCTCACATCAAATCTCTCGGCATGTTCAATTTCAATTTACACTCGACGAAAGCTGGGTGAATAACCTTGTATGTCATAAAGCTGATCCTATCATCCATGTCACCTACTTCCAACGAACTTTATGATCGGGATCCTATAGCAGTTCCACGTGTTTATCTAATCCCGTATATTGTGTAAGAACTTAACGGAGTATGAAGCTGATTTATATTGATACTTAAGCTATTGAGCGTGGGTCAATGTGTTATGTGATTTTTTTATGTATGGCAAGCTGTTTGTGGGGGTTTTATTTTTTAGGAAATAATAGCTTTTGCCAGCGGCTACGCCCGTGGTTTCATCCGATAAAATATAGCCTATGTATGTCTTATTCCAGAGAGTCTGACACTCAATTTACTAAAATTGCGGGTTACTCACGTGAATATACTGAGAAAACCTCTACTGTTTAGTGAACGGTGAGCTGCGCGATGTCACCGCGACCGCGCACGCTACTCATGAGGAAGAACCCTTCTGTGGTTCGAAACTACTAGAGCTTTTCTCGGTATATTCACGTGAGTAACCCGCAATTTTAGTTAATTTAGTATGTCTCACGATAGTTATTATAAAAACACAGTCTGACACCCCCTTTGGCCTCACCCGGGCGGGAGAAGTCATTGAATGATTTCAATCTCAAAAAAAGTCCGCAATCCACCCTTGTTCCAAATTTCATCTTG